GGAAAATGTGCAGTGGTCGATAGAAAGTCTGGTGGTGACAAAGCAAATGGTGATTCGAGCGAAAAAGACCCTTTACTTGATATTTGCTGGGTTAAGAGGGACTAGACCATATGCTCCCGGTCGAGTCCTTAGACAGCTGGGAGGAAAACAGGAGATTCCCCAAATTGCGGACATGAAGAAATTTGCAACCGATCATGATAAACTAGGTCTTCTGAGGACACTGAATAAGTTTTTGTGACGAAGAGCTACCCTTTGAAGGGATGATGCACAACAAAGCTCTGCACGTCACCTGTATGTGTCGAGACAAGATAATTAATCGCGTCTTGGTCGATGACGGATCCGGTCTCATTATTTGCCCACTTTTGACTCTGAGGCACCTGAAATTCGACTTGGGAAAGCTTCACCAGAACCAAGTCAATGTGAGGGCCTTTGATGGAGTGCAAAGAGACACATTGGGTGCAGTAAACTTGGATATTCAGGTGGGTCCTGCAGATTTTAATGTGGAGTTCCAGGTGTTGGATATCAACACTAGTTACAATTTGCTTTTGGGAAGACCGTTTATTCACATGGTTGGGGCTGTGTCTTCCACCATTCACCAACTAATGAAGTTTGTTTGGAAGGACAAAGAATTAGTCATTTATGGTGAAGGGAGTCATTCCAATGGGTAGCACCGATCGCTGATGATGTCTCTCGAGATTGCGATTTCTACACGGTGGAGCTGGTAAATGCCACCGGTGATGACTTGGCTCCACAGCCTCCTATACCTGCCGTGTACAAGATGATTGCTACTGTCATGCTCCACAATGATTTCGAACCAGGTTTCGGATTGGGGAAGCACTTTCGAGGAATCATCGAGCCTATCCAAATTCCCGCCAAAGGAGAAAAGTTTGGTTTGGGATATGTCCCAACAGACGACGAAGCAGAGTTGAAGAACAAGAGTGTTGATCAAGCATTGGCCAGGCCAATTCCGCATCTGTACCAGTCATTTCCGGTACGAGAAAATGTCAACGATATTGGTCTCGGGGAAGGAATCTGGGGCCTTTTTGAGGAGATTGATGCGGTCGTCGAGGAAGAGGCTGGGACATCAGGCATCCGTAATGCAAAGCCTAAGGAGCGATTGCAAAACTGGACCTCCACACCACTCCTGATTTACCGCTCATCTGGGTAGAAAAGACATGTGTCTTTGTTTGTTTTAAAATTGGTGGTAGTCCGGAAGAGGCCCGAGACCCACCCCTTATGCAGTTCTATTAGTTTGAAGTTTTTAAATTCCCTTGTGATGTTTAAAAAGGCAAAATGACCCTCGGCCATTGATTTTATCTGTTTAAATCTTTTGAAACCCTTACGTTTTTTCATGATTTTTACTAAAAAATTAAGTGGCGACTCTGTTCTTTTGGAAATTCGATTTCTCTTAAACTATAAGTTTAATCGACTTTTTTTCAAAACTCAGTCATTTTCCTTTATTTATCTTTTTAAATAAAACAATCATATCCAAATGCCTACCTAAATTGTGAGATGTTTTTGCCATTTTTTAAGATCTCTAATGTATGGCGCAGCCTGGGGCTAATACAACTTATGTAAAGAGAAATATTAATATCCTCCATTTGCATTTTCTATTTCACCTCAATGTACCATTTGATTTATCACAATTCACAAGTGTCTTATGATTTGATCATCATGTATTGTAGTGTCAATGAGATACCTTCACATTTAATCGAGAAACATTTTTTCCTTATGAATTTTGTGCATACAAATCTAAATTAATTAGTTGGATCAGTAAATTTTAAATATATATAATTATATCAAAAAAAAAATTACCATATACCACACTAGTTCAATTTTGTCAACTTACGAAACTACGATTGAACAACTCCAGAATCTACGTGTTATACACATATTTATAGTAATAGTACACTCGACGAAGACCATAGGTCTTAAGGACTGGCAAATCAAAAGGAGGAATAAGTATTATATAAATTTTTTTTATTAGAAATATAACTAATAGTAAAGTAACTAGTAGAAGTCAATGTTATGAAAGATGATATTAGTCTTCTATCAATTTTTTTGAAAAATACTAATCAGGATTGATAAAAAAAATTACAGATTAAGGCTTACCCTTACTCTAGCGGAGACTAGCTTCAATAGGCCTTGGAGGTATATATTCTTCTTCTTCTTCTTGGATTGAGATGGATATTCAAATGGTTGGTCTTTTCATTGAAATTTGTTGTTCAAAATTATCATGTTACAATATATGATTGAGAATAAATATTTATTTTTCCTTGTGAATAGTGAAAGTGAAATATGGGAGCCACTTTAATCTTTTTATCATTAAAGATAGCTTTATTAATTATTTGGTGGATGAAAACACCACTAAAATAAAATCTTAGAAACAGTACAAATTCTATTTTACTACTTACTTTTCTAACTTGTCTACTTCCCTCATTCTTGGAACACGTTCCCAATTTAAGTTGTACGGCTAACTATTTTCTCTTTTCAACACTTGATACCTTTTACAACCAAATCTGCTCTAAATAATATGTCATATATAAGTTAGTATATACTATTATAAATATTTATTTTTTTAATTTAAATTTCTTAAGTAGATCTCACAATGCGTTTGTCCATAGATTTTGAAAGAAATATTTGACTCTTAAAAAAAATGAAAAAGGATAAAAAATACCCTCGAACTATGCAAAAAAGTTTAAATATACCCTACATCCATCTATTGGGCTAAAAATACCCCTCAATTCACCTTTTTGACCTATTTTTACCCTTAGAACTTAATAGATTTTTTAAAGTTATTATTATTAGTATTACTTATTATGTGGTCTTCCTATTGGATAAAATAAAATTCCCAATTCACCAATTCTTTCCAACCCGCCCCGATCCATATCCACGACTCCATGACCCAAATTCCATTAAACACAATTACACAAGTAATCCCAAATTTAATATGCTCACCCTCTTCGTCTTCTTCTTGGAGCAGCATCTTTCACCCTCTTTGTCTTCCTCTTGGAGCAACAATTTTTCAAACCATCCATGAAGTAGAGGCCAGAGGCTACCTCATCATTCATCATCATTCCCATAACGAATTCATTAAAGAATTTTGAAAAATTATTTCTCCCTTGTTTTTTTTTCATCTTGTTGAACTTTATATGCATAATTATCATCCCTCTAAATAATATATTACTCCCAATACAGTCTCATTCATAGTTGGTTTGTCGTATTTGATCTGATCTAGTTGAATACTTCAATTAATTCATAATCTATTTAAACTTTTAATTCTCTGGTTTCATTATGATCACATTAAAATTCAATTGTTCTTCGAAAAATACCTGCTTTATTTAAAAAAATAAAAATTAATGGCGACGGCTACGAGGAAAGTTGGGGTTATGTGTTTACCTCTACTTCATGGATTCCTTTAAAGAATTTCTCCAAAAAGAAAGACGAATAGGGTGGGTATTAAATTTGGGTAATTTGTGTTTAGTTGGATTTGGGTCATGGGAATGTAGTATGGGTCGGACCGGTTGGAAAAAAATGGTGAGTTGGGATTTTATTTTATCCAATAGGAACACGCCACGTAATAAACAATACTAATAATAATAATTTTAAAAAAATTGTTAAGTTTTAAGGGTAAAAATAGGTCAAAAAGGTGGATTGAGGGGTATTTTTAGCCCTATAGATGAATGGAGGGTATATTTAAACCTTTTCGAATAGTTGGAGGGTATTTTTGACCCTTTTCTGAAAAAATATGTTTTATACCCACTAGTTCTAAAAATTATTAAGAATATCCATAAGTTTGTATTATCATTTTGATAAAATTAGATTAGTAGCTTAGTTAGTTTAAGTGTACATTGTTCATTCGCAAAATTAGTTAGTTACTGTTCATTCACAGAGTTAGTTAGTTAGTTAGGAATCACAAGTTTACCATTTTCAGCATAGTTAGGCGGTTGAGTTTGGTAGAAGTGTTAGACTCCATTAGTGTGTATATATACACATACATTGTATTGATTACAATTAGTTTTTCATTCTCAATAATATCTTTTATTTTCTCTTTGATTGTTGGTGAAAGCTTAACCTCCATTAATGGAGGAAACTTATCGTTTCTCAGCTTATGGTGCTGGTTTCATCATGGTATTAGAGCAAGGAGATTCCTGCTCGTCTCTCTCGTCGTGAGTATTGTATTGAGTTTGATTTGCCCTCATTTCTGTTATCAATTTTCTTCTCCTTGTTTTTTTCCCGGACGATCTCACTATCGTTCCTTCTGTATTGATTCAAGTTTACTCATTGTGAGTTCATCTTCTCAATTCGTCTATAACTGCATTCTTCTTCACAATCATCTTCATATTCTTCTATGGATGAAGTTCCAGCTGACGCGGCTGCTATCAACATTTCAACTCGATTAGATTTCAATAGTCCCTTCTATCTGCATCCCTCAGAAAATGCAGGTTCTACTTACTTTCTGCTGTCTTTGACGGAACTAGCTACAGTTCATAGAGACGAGCAGTTCTTAGGGCTTTATCTGTTAAGAGTAAAACTGGATTCATCAATGGAAAAATTGTGATACCAAGTCCTACAGATCCAACCTTCATGCAGTGGGAAAGGTGTGACGACATGGTGACCTCCTGGATCTTAAATATTCTCTCACCGGATCTGCAAGATAGCTTGCAATACGTTAACAATGCCAAGGAACTTTGGGAGGAATTGGAGGATAAATATGACCAGACTAATGGTTGCAAACTCTATCAACCGTAGAAGGAGATAAATGATCTTGTGCAAGGCTCTTTGGTTGTCACTGGTTATTACACTAAGGTGAAGAAATTGTGGGAGGAAATGAACACTCTTGATATTAATTCTCAATGCACTTGTGTGTGTATTTGTGGTGGCAAAATCAAGATGCATAAGGCTGAGCAAGATAGAAGACTTATACATTTTTTGATGGGCCTAAATGAGGTGTATACTGTTGTACGTGGAATATCCTCATGATGTTTAGTCAGCCAACTATGGCACAATCATTTGCCATTTTGTCACAAGAGGAAAGACAGAGGGAAATGAAGCCCCTCAGTCACATGGCTTTGGAATCCACCTTACTAAATGCCTCTGTATCACCACAACACAATGCATGATCCAAAGGTTTCAATACAAACTACAGTTCTTATAGATGAGGTACATGAAGAGGTGCATGCAATTCCAACACCAATATTTTTAAGGGATATTCCAGCACTGGCAACAGGTCAAACTTGTTTTGTGAATACTGCAAACGAACTGGGCGTACCAAATACAGGTGCTACAAGCTCCATGGTTATCCAACCAACACAAGAACCCCAAGAGGAAGAGGTTCAGGAACTGCAACAAATGTGCATACTTCTGAGGATGATAGAAGTCAGTATGAAGAAACTCCTGAGCATCTGTCCAAAAGCCAGTATGAACAACTACTCAATCTACTTGGGACTCTGCAGGTTGGAAATGGAACTGATTGCTCAGGAAATATGTCAAGTGGAGCTGCAAACCTAGCAGGTATACTTGCTTGCTATTCTTCTATTACTGAGATAGGTGATTTGTCATGTAAATGTGATAGATTAATTGCTGGTTCTTAGATCATAGATTCAGGAGCATCCCACCACATGACCTACATAAAAAACACTCTCACAAACCTTATAACACTGCCTTATCCTTTCTTAATCACCTTACTAAATAAATACAAAGTTAAAGTGACTGAAATTGGTGATGTTTGCTTGAATTCAACACTGACTCTGTACAAAGTATTGCTTATACCTAGCTTCAAGTTCAATTTAATATCAGTTCATTACTTAGATGTTCAACTCAAAGGAATAGTTAGCTTTAACAGTTTTTCTTACTTACTGCAGGGCCCTTCTCTGAAGAGCCCTCTGGCACTTGGTAAGGCAAGGAATGGTCTGTATTTTTTTTGTCCAAAGTGTCACAATTGTCCACTTACAAATGGTAATGTTGTTTCTCATAACAGATGTAAACATGTTTCTCTTTTAAACTACTGCAAGAAAGTTTTAGTTGGAAGTGAATGCCAAGCTTCACCACCAAATGTAAGATACTCTCATGAAATCAATAAAGAAGCTTGTTCTATTGATCTTATTTCATGTTCTGTTGTTGATTCTTTCCCTGATGTTAATACTACTCATAGTCATGACACTGAATTCTTATGGCATGCTAGATTACGACATATGCCTTTCGTAAAAATGATGAGTATATCTACCATTCCCCTAAAATTTTCCAACAAACAACCCTTTATTTGTACAATATGTCATGGCTAGATAAACCAGAATGCCATTCCCAGAGAGTACAACTACAACCAGCTCAATGTTTGAGTTGTTTCACATTGACTTATGGAGACCATACCATGTACTTACACATGATGGATATCACTACTTTTTAACCATGGTGGATGGTTATAGTAGATCAACCTGGACACAACTGCTTAGATGCAAAAGCAATGCACTTCAAACTATAAAAGCCTTCATATCCCTCATAGAAAATCAGTTTTATACCAAATTGAAAACCATCAAATCTGATAATGGTCTGGAATTCACAAGCATTGAGGCAACCTCTTTCTTTTAAGAAAAGGGCATAATACACCAAAAATCATGTCCTTACACACCACAACAAAATGGTGTGGTGGAAAAGAAGCATAAGTACCTTCTTGAGACAGCAAGGGCACTTCTGTTTCAGTCAAAACTACCTATGAAATATTGGGAGGAATGTGTCTTAACTACCACCTATTTGATCAATAGACTACCTACAAAACTCCTACAAAACAAATCCCCATATGAACTGTTATATCAAAAGAAACTAACCTGCTCCCACCTTATAAGTTTTGGATGCCTTTGCTTTCCAACTACCTTGAAAACCCTTAAGGACAAATTTGAGCCAAGAACAACACCCCACATTTTCATTGGATACCCTTTTAATACAAAAGACTACAAGGTCTTTGATCTGGGTACCAAGAGAATTCATATGTCCAGAGATGTCCTTTTTCATAAAACTATTTTTCCTTTTGTCATTGCTCCTGTTGGTTCTAGTTTTAATTTTGTCTTGCAGTTCCTTGTACATCATTTTGATATGTCTGATATGTTACCTTGCATGTCTAGTAAAACAAATAACTTTGTTGATGTTGAAATGTTGAATTCTAACACATTGGTTGAAGTCACTTGTGATCATGTTCCCATAATTGACATTATACCTCATGTTGGACCCACTGTTTCTGCCATTGGTGATGCTCTTTTTGTACCTAGAAGAACAACTAGGTCCCTTCACCCCTCAAACTAATTGAAAGATTACACCTACTCATTACCAAACCTACATCGTTCTCCACCCATTCCTAATGTTTTAGATCCACAACACTCACTCACATCATTCATATCTCACATTGATCATGTATGTTTCACTACACTGTGTCCTGATAGCCAGCAGTTAATCAATAATGTTTCACATGATATTGAACCTTCCTTTTATGAAGAGGCAATCTTAAATACTGCTTAGCAAGTGGAAATGACACAAGAATTTGATGCCTTGTATGCAAATGATACTTGGGAACTAGTTAACTTGCCTAAAGGAAAGAATGTTATAAGGTGTAAATGGGTGTACAAGATTAAAACAAGGCAAACGGCAGTATAGAAAGGTTCAAGGCTAGACTAGTGGTAAAGGGGTACACTCAACAAGCTGGAATAGATTACAATGAAACATTCTCACTTGTGGTAAAGATAACCACAGTCAGGACTCTGATCTCTTTAGCAGTCAAGAAAGGTTGGAACATGTACCAGTTGGATGTCAATAATGTGTTCCTTCATGGTGATTTAAATGAAGAAGTGTACATGGCATTACCACCAGGCAGTGGAGAGTAGTGACATAATTTGCAGATTTAAGAAGTCATTGTATGGTTTAAAGCAAGCCAGCAGACAATGGTATGACAAACTGGCTAACAGTCTTTGTTCAAAAGGATACACTCATTCAGATAATGATTATTCACTGTTTTATAAGAAGAATGAAAGCTCTCTAATATTTGTGGTTATATATGTTGATGATATTATCTTAACTGGTACTGACATGAAGGAGATTGGTTCCTTAAAAGCTTTCCTCCATGAGAAATTCAGGATAAAAGACTTATGAAGGCTGTATTACTTCCTTGGTTTGGAAATACTGTACAGACAGGATGGTGTTCTCATCTCACAGAGAAAATTTACTCTTGATCTCTTGAAGGAATTTGACTCTATGCATTATAAATCCACTACTTCACCATTAGACTCCACTGAGAAACTGAAGCTCACAGAAGGCACACTATTGTCAGATCCTACTCACTACAGAAAACAGGTAGACAAGCTTAATTTTCTCACTAACACAAGGATGGACATAGCATATAGTATCCAGCACCTTAGTCAGTTTATGCAACCCCCTAGAGAACCTCATTTGAAGGCAGCCTAACATGTGCTCAGATATCTACAACAGGACCCTACATTAAGAGTTTTTATCTCCAACAAATTTGACATCACCATTAATGCTTATTGTAACTCAGATTGGGCCTCTTGTCCTGATTCAAGGAAGTCTGTGAGTGGTTTTTTGGTACTCATGAGTAATAGCCCCATTAGTTGGAAATCTGAGAAACAAGCCACAGGGTCACTATCCTCAACAGAAGCAGAGTACAAGGTTGTGAGACAAGTAGTGGGTGAATTAGTATGGCTGGAAAGATTACTTGATGAGCTCTCAGTGAAGTGTTCCTTACCCATACATGTCTTTTTTGATAGTCAAGCTACAATGCACATTGCTAAGAATCCAGTTTTTCATGAGAGAACTAAACATATATAAGTGGATAGCCAATTTGTCAGAACCAAGCTACATCAAGGATTGATCACACTTTAATACATCCCCACAGATTCACAATTGGCTGATGTCTTTACTAAGGCCTTAACTGGAGTCAAGCATACTAATTTATTAAGCATGTTGTTTGTAAGTAACTCACCTCCAACTTGAGGGGGTGATAAAATTAGATTAGTAGCTTAGTTAGTTTAAGCTTACACTGTTCATTAACAAAATTAGTTAGTTACTGTTCATTCACATAATTAGTTAGTTAGTTAGGAATCACAACTTTACCATTTTCAGCATAGTTAGTCGGCTGAGTTTGTTAGAAGTGTTAGACTCTATCAGTGTGTATATATACACATACATTGTATTGATTACAGTTAGTTTTTCATTCTCAATAATATATTTTCTTTTCTCTCTGATTGTTGGTGAAAGCTCAACCTCCATTAATGAAGGAAACTTATCGTTTCTCAGCTTATGGTGCTGGTTTCATCACATTTCATGATAAAAATGTTCGTGTAAACTCATTCACAACGAACATAATTAATATAAATTTGAAAAAAAGAAGAAGAGAAATGCCATTGATTTTTTCAAATATATTAGCTTGTTGCAAACTTATCAATCAAAAGGTATTCGAGCTACCTTTAAAACTTGATAGATTAATTTTGCCAATAATTTCCTCCTTATCTTCAAAACAAACGAAGGAAGACTTATGTACTAATTATACATGATTAGTAACTTAAGTGTGTTATACTCCTTACTATATCTTGACGCTAAATCATAAAATTGAACAAATAAACGGGGAAGTAACAGCACACGGCAGAGCAACCAAAGACGAAAATAGTGGCTTCACTTTCGTGAATTGCACTTTAGGAGGCACTAGTAGAATTTGGTTGGGGCGTGCATGGAGGCCTTACTCCACGGTCGTCTTTGCTAACACTTTCATGACGGATATTGTGGCTCATAAGGGTTGGAACGACTTGAATGACCCTATGAGAGACCAATTAAGTAACAGTATAATCATTTCACCTAAAAATTTAAATTATATATCGCAATAAAAATTACATTCTTTAATTAATTTTTAACTTAATTATTATAGGACAATTTTTTATGGGGAGTACAATTGCTCTGGAGCAGGATCGAATATGGTGCTTAGGGCGCCATATGTTCAAAGACTTAACGATACACAAGATCTTCCATTCCTTAACTCATCTTTTATTGATGCTGATTTGTGGCTTCAATCTTTCTCCTCTTAGCAACTTCTCCTTCTTTGTATTTTCTCTCTCTAATTATAAATTTACGTGTGATGAACTCGATTGCATAATATTCCAAAATTGAACGACATTGCTGTAATATTATTCCGTATTTGACTTGTATATATATGCATATACTTTGACACTAGTACAGATGAACGTTTACTTAATTCTTAGTGTAATTTAATCTGATGTAAAAGATCATTTGTGTTATTTTTCAAATTGTTAATTCTACTAAATTTTGAGTGTTATCTTTAATTACCTTTAAAGTGTATTGTATCAAATGTGAAGAAGTTAAACACACTATTATAGAGAAAGAGCCTCAAAATAGTCCTTTTTATCTTTTGAGTTAAAAAGACTCAAAATTTTAACTCAAAATCATTTTTATTTTTTTCACATAAAACCCCTTGTAGTCCCTCATGTTTGCTAAATTAGTACATTTTTGGTCCTCTCCCAAACTTTTGTCTATTTATCAACATTGGATTTGATCACAATTTTGTGTATAAATTGTTCAGTCGTCAACCTCTTCATTTAATCGTCATCTTCTTTGTTTAATAGAAACATAATTCCATGAGAGAGAGTAAGAAGATGAGTGCTTTTTATTTTGTACAATCCAAAAATCATTATAGCTAAACCAAAAATCTATATTCGTTATTTGAGCTATATCAATTTATATATATATATAAGTATTGCCCATGCTATGCACGAGCCCAACAACGTGAATTTTGATGTCATTTATTTGTGTCTAATCTTGCGTTCACATGTGTAGACTCTAAACAACCATAAAATTTTAAGAATAATCATAAGCTCATAAGCACGGCTA